CGCAAGTCGTAGAGGCGCAAGAGTTGGAGGCGCAAGAGTTGGAGGCGCAAGACGTAGAGGCGCAAGAGGCGCAAGACGTAGAGGCGCAAGAGGCGCAAGAGTTAGAGGCGCAAGAGTTAGAGGCGCAAGACATAAAAGCGCAAGGCGTAGAAGCCAAGGAAATGAGAAGGGCGATACTGGTTAGCACGGAAAAAGTGAGCAGCGAGACTGTGTGGAACATGGAGATTAGATGTATGTTATCCGGTCCAGCGTCCGCCCCACGAGGCAGTGGCCCAGTAACGGCGTCATGTGTGACAGCCAAGATCTGCAAGCTTATCCGTTGTGTGTTGTCTGGTCCATCGTCCGCCCCATGTCGAAGTGGATCGGTGACAGTGTCGTGTGCAACAGCCCACAGCGGCAAGCTTCGCGAAATCAAGTTGGCCGAAGTGGTGGGCATTAGTGATATTCTACCATGGCCACCACCGCAGCAGAAGATGACGCGTAGTAAGCCTCAAATCGTTTGACTTGTGAGTTGTTGTAACTTGTACGGCGGTAAGAAGCACTTTGCCTTTGGTGGGGAGAATGTTGTGAAACGACAAGTTCTCGAGAGTGAAAGGCCTTCTCGCTTGTGACAGTGTGTTCGTTTCAATGCAGCTGTATCCCGACTCCGCCGTACTGCTGATGTTTACGACGTAGTATACGCTACATGCGCTATGTGCGGTTTTGCTGTGTGCGCTGTAGTTGTATGTTGTATGTGTATGCTTTTCTCATATACGCTGTCATTTTCACGCTATAACTACCTGGTGGTTTTAGTGTTAGTTATTCAGTTCATTCAGTTGTTCATTCATTCATTCATTGTTCATTATCATTAGTCGATGGAAGTGAAAGATATTGTTGAGAATATATAGTTGTCCTCGTGCCGTGTGGGGTCGTTCGTTCCTGATACTTAAGAGAACCAGAGGGTTCACAACAGTATGTCAAATTCCAGAACGCTAACCTCATGAATCCCGGTTTTATGATTGCACAACCGTTGCAACATCACCTACTCATGCAGTGACCATACTGCGCTAGGAACCGTTCAACTGCGCTTCCTGGCCTAAGCAGTCAAATATAAGCAGTCAATATAGGCCTAAGGAGTGAAATATGCAGGAATATTTCGACTGCTTAGGTATAGCGAAAATCAATGGGAGTCAATACTAGAGAGTAATAATAATATCATTTATCACTCTCCGTTAGTATTGACTCCCATCGATTTTTGCCATACCATACCTAATATTTTTGCCTGCATATTTCACTCCTTAGTAGGGGTGCGCGGATTATTCCCGGAATAATTTGGGAATACTATCGTTGAGAAAATTTTGGGAATTTTAGGGGAATTCTATCGATCTTTTGCCAGATCCATTGACCTTCAGAAGAGTTTTGGGGGAATTCTGTCAATTTTGACCTGCCAGAGAACAAGCATAGACGCACATACATGTAGACTCTACAATCATGCAGCAACACCTGGACAGTCATGTAGATCTAGTACCGGTGCATGCAGGGAGTCGTAAAAAAAATTAAAAAATACGACTCCCTGAGTACGAGTACATGTAGTGTAGATCCTGCATGCAGTGATCACGTGCCTGACCGTCCATTTTGCATACTAAAGAGCATGCGCAAGGCACGGTTCGTGATGGGGTTCTTTTTGGGGGGGGGGATTCTGGAGAATTTTTTCGATATTTTGGGAGAATACTTTCGAAGTTCCGCGGGAAATGCCCGAAAGCATAATATCGGGTGCGAGCAAGCATAATCCGCGCACCCCTACTCCTTAGGGCTATATTGACCGCTTATATTTGACTCCTTTTTAGCGATTGAACACATGCTTTGGTTAGTCGTGATAAATCTAATATCGACTTCGTACTTGGTCAGTATAAAATAAAAGACCTCGTAAAAGACCTCGGCTTCGCCTCGGTCTTTTACTTGGCTTTTATTTCCTATATTGACCTCGTACTCAGTCAATATTAGATACGTAACGAATTACTGAATCCAGTGGTCTGGTGACGGGCACTGGTGTACATATACATGTACAACGAAGTCCGTACTAAAAGTAAAAGGATTTTCACTACAAGCTAGCTCTACGCGGACCGCATTAAATCTCGAAATGCTGTGGCCAATAATGCCTTGGGGAATTATCTCAACCGGTTTCCATCAAGGCTGGGATTTCAAGATTCTAATCGGAAAACAAAGGTACAGAATAGAGGTCGAGTCTCACCGGTTTTGTCGTCCAGTTCATCGGCAGCAAGACAGCCACATGTTCGCCAATCCTGCACTTCTTCCGGCACGGTCATTCGACGTGCGAGCCTCCCTCGCAGCAGCAAAAAGGTACAGTAGCCAAGTTGTTTGCTAAGTAATTACTAAGTTAGTTATACCGGTACTACATGTAGTAGCATTCATCGGGCTTTTACATTGTACTCCGCGGCCCGCTTAGTAGCAGCGGGAACACTTTGTAGGAGCGGCACGAGACGAACGCCAAGTCTGCATGTCAACCATTCGCTTCAATAGAACCGTGAACATCCATGACAAGATGGACTTTCCTAGTCTTCCGTCAATGGCGGACGATAAAACTCATTCAACAAGAGGACTGTGTGCTTCTTCCTAGCAGGATAGAAGGTAGACAGATGTTCTTCAGGTTCCACTCGCACAGGGTGAATCGAACAGTTGTGATATATCAGGACTTTCTGCTTGTCCTCATCTTCTCCGCCGATGTCGCTCCGCTGACGACTTGTACGAAGTCGTTGACAATAACCGTTGTACCTAGTAGAAATGCATCATCTTGAAGACTTCGAGACTCCTCCATCGAAAGCGTCGAAAGGAAATTCTCTTCACTTCGTTGCCGCTTGTTATCTACTCTCTGAAGCCATTTCTCCAACTGGGTTTTAGCAAAATTTCTCAGTCTTCTACATAATGCATTGCGATAGGGGTTGAATGATTCGGTGATAGCGGAAAAGCGCGAGCTCTGGTGAGTGTGGGGGGGGGGGGGGGGGTAGGTGTGAGGAGCAAACACCTTTCTCAGTACACATGGCACATACATTAAAAAAGTAATAATATAATCGTAGAAAGGAAAAGGACATAATTATGGAAACGAGTTAAGAGTAACTCTCCACCACTGTAACTAGATACTATTATACAGTCAGAAAGTGCAACAACTAGGCACAAAACTGACAGAGTACTGAGACATTCGACGTCCTGACACCTAGCTTCAACACATCTCCGTAGCGCTAACCGACAGCCTTCCAACTTGGAAGGTTCAAGGTTATGGAAATACCAAAGAGGGGAAGGCACAGTACTCTGTCAGTTTTGTGCCTAGTTGTTGCACTTTCTGACTGTATATAGTATCTAGTTACAGTGGTGGAGAGTTACTCTTAACTCGTTTCCATATGTCCTTTTCCTTTCTACTTTTATTATTGGCTCAATACCCGAGTTTCAAATAATATTATAATCTTGAAAATATTATTTTCAAGATTATGTTATGATGCTGCATGCATTGCATTGGCCCCGGAGTCTCCACATCATTCTACCACCGTCAAGATCCATCCGAAAACTATCCAAGAGTGCCTTATGAATATAAGTCCTGGATAATGGATGGACTGGAGGGACGGAAAGTACATGATTGTACATGTACATCGCAATCTGAGCCAAGTCGTCCCTGTGTCATCGCCTTTTCGTCAGGCGCTTTACCGGCCAGCTACTAGTATGATGTGGAAATCAGATTCACCATTTTGGCATTTTACTGATGATGAGGGTGAGAAAAGGTGCGCTACGCTCTATCATAGTCGATGCCAGAACTTTGCACCTCATAATGCACAGAGCGTTTGGTGAGCTGCCAGGCGTGTATTTACCGCCATTTCACCAGGGCTGGTGTGTTTCACCATTTCTCTACTATTCTTATCATGATGGTGCTCTGGGGTCTTCACGCTATTCTACTCTCTGCAATAGTGTAAGAACGCTTTATCCTTCACACAAACACGACATTGACGCACCACAGTCAAAAAGTGCTCGTTTGGTACAGGGCCCGTTGTAACAGTCCAGGCTTTGGTTTAGTAAAAATGGAAACAAGAAGAACGAGCCGAACGTGCGTGCATGCGCACGAACACACATACATACATGTACAGTAGACTACATCACACACATACACATACATACATCACACACATACACCTTCCTTCCTTCCTTCCTTCGCCCACTGCCACGATTGGCTATGTGTCCCCAATCTTGACTTGAACTTGAAGGAGTGCTGGCTTCGGGACGCGGCATGAGGCACTGCAAGTCCGGCGGGACGTGAACGGCTCACACACACACACACACACACACACCGTGACACGCACACCATGTACCCCACACACACACACACACACACACACCATGCACCCCCCCCCCCCCCACACACACACACCATGTACCCCCCCCCCCCCCACACACACACACACACCATGTACCCCCCCCCCCCCCACACACACTATGTACCCCCCCCCACACACACACACCATGTACCCCCCCCCCCACACACACACACACCATGTACCCCCCCCCCCCACACACACACCATGTACCCCCCCCCCCCACACACACACACACCATGTACCCCCCCCCCACACACACACACAATGTACCCCCCCCCCCCACACACACACACAATAATGTCATACACACTAGTTGGTACACAGTTCTTGTTCACGCAGTGCCAGAAACTGGTACGTATGTAAAACGGGTCTACAAATGCCGGATGTAGAGCTAGGGCCAGTACTAGTAGCGGAGAGAGGTCAAACGATTCTTGGAAGGAACCGCCTAACAATGAAACCCGCCCACCCCACCGAATCCCCAAACTCTGGTTGGACTACAAGAGAAGTGATCACAATTATCATGAGCTTGCCACACAGGAAACCGGAGTGGGTGAGGGAAAGGTGCAAGCAAAGGATTGGCGGAATCTAGGTATGGCCTATGGACCCAACAGTGACTCTGAGCCCCATACAACCATGTAGATCTGGACAGTGGACACATAGCAATGGTACAACTAAGTCTTCTTTGCTATTAGCACGATCATAGTTGCTCAGGCGAGGACAGCATGGAACACCACTGCACTGGCAAAGTGAACTCATTTTGCATCCACATTGCAGACAATTCGAACATTTACTGATAATTATTATGTGATCAATTTGTGCATAGGGAACAGTGTTTGGCAGAAGATGCAAATACACGAAGTACTAGCAATCTGTGCGCTTGTCATATATATATTTGCCAGCGATACATGTCTTGGGGTGGTTCTAACAGAAAAGCTGCGGAATCCACAAGCTTCTACAGACACACTTGTAAGAATGCTGTGTGCGTAGCTGCGGGAGGGGGGGGGGGGCTCATTACTTCTCCAGTACTTCCCTCTGCTACAGAGGGGTATTACCAGGTATAGTGCACATGCGTGCGTGCGTGTGTGTGTGTGTGTATATGTGTGTGTGTGTGGTACATGGTGCGTGTGTGTCTGTGTGTACACGTTGTGTGTCTGTTTGCAAGACAAAAGGCGAATGCACTTTAGTGTTCGGAAACCAAGCAACACTGATTGATGGCGAGCATAAGTACGATGATGAATGCAATCTTATCAGCTCTCGACGGCGAAGTTATAGTAATTGTTATTATTCGCTTCAGCTGTGACCGTGGAAGCAAGTGTTCCCAATCAAAACTCAGGAAGCATCAAAAACACACACACACACACATGGGCATGCTCACGTATGTCTAAAAACATAACTGCACAGGGTCGGCTATGGTTCTGGCTACCCTCCCGATCCGGCTGGGCCACCTGCTCATCATCATCATCAATCATCATCAACAACATTGGGTCAGACGAACATGAGCCCGGTTATGCATGGACATGCCATACGGCGCCAATGATCAGCTAGATGCATCCAAAGTTGAACACGTAGTCCATGTACAGCTCGTTGTGGTGCTACTCAGCTGCATATATTGATGCTGCTATTCAGCTAGATGAATCCAAAATTGAACCTGTAGTCCATGCAAAGCTGCATGTGACTATACATGGCATCCTTCTCAGAGTATCGACTCATCTCCAGCACGTTAAAGCATACCCGAGACTGCGGAATCCTACAAACCACACAAGAGCAACACGCAGCATGTGGAGGTTAACCTGCCAGAGCAATGGCAACAATAAGACACATCCTAAATGCTGACTTCAAAAACATCCCAGAGTATACTTCGATAGAAAATGTTTCTCTTCTACTCACTCTGTGGGCAGAACCCATTTACATTCAGGGGACTGATGCATGGAGTATCAAGAAAGCAGTCACTTTCAGCACCACTGACAAGGCAAGTAACGTCGGTGACATGCTCTGCTCTATGACTGTGTTGTACCACACGCTGATCATATTGCCACAAAACGAGAACATAGGCGACAAGTAGCTACACCCGTCGTATGCAACATTCTACTATAGCGGACATGGAAATCCAGTCGATTGACCGGGACCGGCGCCCTCAGCGCGTGCAGAACGCTGCGTGCAGTGCACATGTTGATCCGATGCGACCAGCGCGCTGCAGCGCATAAATGCATGTGTGTACTGCTTATCCTCGGCTCGGCTGCATGGCCAGCGCCCTGGGGCCGCTAGATGTGCGATCAGATTTCCATGTCCACGACAGTACTATTTGGCGTATTGTACTAGTACAGCTACAGTAACCATGGTAACACTGTCTGTAGTCTAGGTTCTATTGATGGCTGACACTTCTGCTATTGATGTATTGACTTTTAGTTACGGTGACTGGAGATGCGGTTGCACACTACTCGGCTCCAGTTACAACTGCCGGTACAGGCACTGTCTGACCTTTTCATGCATTTGTATGCGGCTGTCACCTCATACCGCTTTTGTCATCTACTATCATTTGCCGCTATATGCTAGGACTTGTAGTCTGTGATCCGTAGATCTGTGCTCTGACATTGGCCGCAGTTGCCCGGTCTAATCCGGCGTGAGCCGCAGTCTGCACACACACACATGTATGGGTTTGTTTTCCTTTGTGTTTAGTTTTAGGTTCCTGCTTTGCTGGTGCTGGTTGGGTCTTGTTTTTAGTTTGGTCAGCTGTTTGCCATTAGATGAAATGAAAGAGAAATACAGTCTTCTTGTACGGTAACGTTCGTGGAAGTGTAAATCAATTGGTAGAAACAGCAATCAACTGTTTGTTGGGAACCATGCATGTACGTGTGGACTGCAAGAGCATATCCTCACATCATCATGACGTCATGGAAGGTCTGGATCTGACACACATGTTATCCGCTTCAATCACAGTTTGTCATGTTACCACCGCGATTCCTCGGCGAGCTAGAAAGGTCTGGATAGGTTGCTATGGAGCAACCTCTGTGATACCAAAATTTGAAATGAAAAATTGGGCAACCTGGAGGAGACGGGCCAATACAAAGGAGTGGCTCACTTCGATCGACTCTGGTCTCAGAGCAAACTTCAACATGCCAGCTACCTTGCACAAACATATTTTGAGTGAACAATCCACAGTGATGATTGGTTTGGGTATACACAATTTTTGCTGTCAAACCGTTCCTATCGTATTATCTCTATTATTAGCACGGTCCTTTATTTTTCAATGTACCTCCGCCCCGTGCTATTAATGGAGACGTTCCTTTATTGGAGACTGTTCCATTATTATTTCAAACTCATTTCAGAGGTTGGTGAATCGTGCGCGCGGTCGCGCGACTGACCATGATATCATGTACAATGTCATGTACATGCAATGTGCGTACATATACTACCGTACGGTGTCCTTTATTGGAGGCCCGGGTGGTTTTCAGAGCACTTCACAATGAGCATTTCACAGTGTGCTTATAATGGAGACTGAGCACTTTATTTTTTGAACGCCGCTCCAAGGTGTTGTATTATTGGAGACGTGCTATTATTGGAGACTGTGCTTATATTAGAGATAATACGGTATTTGAAACCCTCCTCTACACATACACCGTGTATGCATATACTCATGCACCATGTACACATACACCATACTCGTACACCATGTACACCATAATTATACTCATACACCATAATTATACTCATACACCATAATTATACTCATACACCATAATTATACTCATACACCATAATTATACTCATGCATCATAATTATACTCATGCACCATAATTATACTCATGCACCAAGCAAGGGTACGTACATGTTCTTCTGGTCTACGTCGATGACCAGAACGAAATTCGGGTAGCTCTCGAAGTTTGCCGGCAGCTATCAAGTCCAAACGGCAGATGACGACGACAATGACAGTGCCAACAAAGCAAGGCAAACCGCAGAACATACCACCATGAATATACTGCACTATTAACACAGAGTATAATTATGTCACCATCAACACAGAGTATATGTATCGCTATCAAGTATCAACACAGAGTCCAACATGTTATTATTATCACTATCAACTCAGAGCACACTGTAGATACAGTTGACTCCACTTATAACAAACTCACATATAGCGAATTTCGTGATACAGCGAACCACTGTCCATGTCCCCGTTTGAACACATATAAAACTGACCCCATATAGCGAACAGTTTTCGTTTATAACGAACCAAATCTTGTACGGCCGCATGTCCACCAAGTGCAGTCATACTGTCATGGGCCACATGCCTGTCATGACTTGCTGCTTGTTTAGTGTGAGCGCATATCTGTTATAACAAACTTTGGTTATAAAGAACTAATTCTCATACACAATGGTGTTCGTTATATCAGGAGTCGACTGTACATATATCACTATCAACACAGAGTGTATATATCACTATCAACACAGAGTGTATATATCACTCTCCGAGGCAACACAGACACACTCCCGCTGCTGTAATCGCAGCAGAACGATTCAGAAAACCCCCGCGAGAGAATCGGAAAATCCTGTACAGTTGCTATGATGTGTGTTAATATATCTAGTGACAAAGCCAACTGTGAACTGGCCGATGAGGTCTTCCACACCATTACTAAGTCTTCCTTTACACCATCACCACGATAGTACTGATTGAAAACAGTCACAACATGCCGTTATGATGTCTTTGTGGACCACTTTCACAACAATAACACACACAGAAGTCTCTGCTGTGAGCACGGTGGCTCGGCAATGCACCAACGAAAAGCCACTGCGAAGTGACAGGAGTGCGGTCAGTGACAGGAATGCGGTCCAGCACAACATTTTTGCCGAAGCAAAAAGTTGTGGGGAAATCCCAAAATCGGTGCGATTTTGCATGCATGAGCCCAAATGTTCAAGTTACCCACAAAAACACCAGCTTTCCAACTCTCTTTGGCCGTTGGAAAGCGTACCGTCTTGAAAAATTGAAAAATTCTACCCACTTCCACATGCAATTTCACATGGGAGGAAAGCAGCATTAAAAAAGGATTCCAAAGATTTCGGTGACTTACATTTGGTCGGCCTGTCAGGAACTGAAGGAACGCTTCCATTGCACCATCATCCAGATCGCTCAGAATCTCCTTGAACCACAGGTACTCTCGTGCAAGCCAGCTGCAACCATTCAATCCACAGGGCATACAATTGCTCCAACAGTAGCTAGTCACGGTGAATACTGAACACTTTTAAGTTTTAACACTCTAAAGCGGCCACTTACGCATCACAAATTCTCAACAGAGAGGGATTCGAAAAGCGGCACGGAAAAAAACATTCCTAACGATGTTGCAGCATAGATTAGTCATATTGTGCAGCAATGGTGAATACTTTGCCGGCTAGGCCATTTAGCCAGGCCTACAACACACACTGTGTTTAGAAATGCTTTTGGTAAGTGAATGCCTGCAGTACAGTGCAGTACAGTGCAGTACAGTGCAGTACAGTGCAGTACAGTGCAGTACAGTGCAGTACAGTGCAGTACAGTGCAGTACAGTGCAGTACAGTGCAGTGCAGTGCAGTACAGTACAGTGCAGTGCAGTACAGTACAGTACAGTGCAGTACAGTGCAGTACAGTGCAGTACAGTGCAGTACAGTGCAGTACAGTGCAGTACAGTGCAGTACAGTGCAGTACAGTACAGTGCAGTACAGTGCAGTACAGTGCAGTACAGTACAATGGAACCATGATGAACCTCATGTGGTTTTGTGATTTTCAATCACATATAAGTGCATATTCTTATAAGCGAGAGTGCTCTTATATTCGAAAATAGGAACATGTCCTTAAATGCGCGAGATTACGGGACCACTTTTTAGGACCGTGTGACACCCCTGTCCAGTGTTGTACAATGATGTGTTGTTTTCCCGTGTGATGACATTCCCTAAACTGTCTTCGGCTAGTCGCGTGCATTTGTGATATGAGCGTGCGCGACGTTGTAGTCGAGAGTCCTTTTGTCGGTCTTCTTGTCAGTCCCGTGGGAGTCAGTTGTCCTTGTATTCTCGTCACGGTGTTCTTTAAAATGTAAACAAACTAGTCTTGTCCTTTGTGTCCTGCGTCCCCGGGAACGGAATGGCTGGGATTCCGTAACACCAGGGTGTTCTCCAGGGTATTCCCCATGGTATCCTAGCAGGGTATTCAGCAGCGTATCTAGCAGGGTGTCCAGCAGGACCGGTATCCATCCCAGGATCCAATTGAATTTGCCCCTAGTCTCTAAGATATGTATACACACATGTACATGCACATGCACACACACACACACACACACACACACACACACACACACACACACACACACACACACACACACACCGACACCGACACACACACACACACACACGCACACACACTTGAACATTGGTTCGGATATGCAACTAAACCCTACTAATCAAACCCACTTCCACTGACACTTCTTTCTAAACTTACTTGTTCAGCAAAATCGCGGGGGAAGTCGGATCCTTATTCCTGACAGTAAATTTATCCTTCAGGCGGGTGTACACATCCTGAAGGTCATAACATAGTACAAAGAGCAATCCAACCCAGCCCAGAAATTGTTTTCAAAGCTGTGATGTGTATGTTTTCGAGGTTTTGGCTGCTGTGAATGAAAATGAAAGTACTTCACGTCTTTTGCGTGGAACCCGTGCACCACATATACCCAGCATTCACATAACTGCCAAATACTGAGAGTGCTTTTTCTGGATGGCCAAGATAAAGTCCCTGGATTTGCCTTGGTTTTCGGGATATGTCATTTTTCCAAAATTCCTTTTTTCAACTTAAAAAAATGATTACACCAACATGTTGTGACATCATTGCTATTAGGTGATGATGATGATGATGATGATGATGATGATGATGATGATGATGATGATGATGATTTTTTTTTTTTTTTTTTTTTTTGATCCCACCTTCCAACCCGGCAAATATTTTGATTTTGATAAAAACGATTCAAAGCCTCTCAATTATTTAGTACTACTTGATGTATATATAAGAATAATAACATTAGTTACACTTTCACACCAAACTAGCTCGGCGCAGCACCAATCACTGCAGGGGAACCCGACCCTCCACCATCGCCAACTCACGAAGCATGTGAACTGGACGATGACGGGCCGACCGAGCACCCCTGACACACAACACAGCGGAACGTAGCAGCGCGAAAGACACCCGACAACGATAATAACTCATCAACGACGAATAGCTACCTCCCGAAGATTGAGCTGTAAGGAGGCAAAGGCGCCTGAGGAAGGCCGTGGATGCCGGCGCAGCAGCCCCATTCACGGAAAACACAAGAGGTGCAAAGGCACCACGCTCAACATTGACTACTCTCTCCTGATATTGCAGTCTCTTAGCTGATGATGATGGTGATGATGATGATGATGATGATGATGATGATGATGATGATGATGATAACATTAACATTTCCCCTTTTATTACTCTGTGTTCATTGCTTGTTTTTGTATTGATTTACTTCCTTGACTGCTTTTGTGTTTCATCATTTTCCGGTTGGTTTTGTGTTGATTTCCCCTGTTCACTTTACATATTGTAATGATATACATTTGCTTTGCCCGTAAAAGAGGCTTTTCTCATGATGATGATGATGATGATGATGATGATGATCATTGAGCTGCGCTGGTGGAGGTCGGTTGGTGATTCTGGAGCTCTGGAGGTGGCTGGATTTGCTTGCAGACTGGGGAAGCTGGAGAAGAAGCCTTGGATGCGACTGCTACTCTGCTGCTGTTTTCCTGTGTTGTGTTGGGTTTTGTTGCTTTTTTCTCCTATTTTCTGTTCACTTTTTGAGTTAGCAGAGTTAGCATCTCGCCATTGTCTTGAACAGTACCCGCCTGATCAATCTCGCCAGAGCATCGTTCATCAACATCATTGCCACCTACCAGCAGTGGGCCTGCAGGGGCTGCCAGCCTCGCACCTCCGGCCGTTGGAATACTTTATGCCGTGCTGCCAGTGTCAATCAAGTCGAAAGTGTGTGAGATGCAGCTGTGTTCGGCATGGGAGGAAGTGTATTGATTGCTACCCAGGAAGGTCGCTACCTAGCACGTGCAACAATTCGTTATCTGCCTCACAGCCTTCTGGTGCTAGCAATGTCACTCGAACTGTCAACGCGCACCCTGCCAGCCAGCCACTTGCGGTTGGGTTTGCACCTCGCGGTGTTGATTGCGCTGGAGATAGATCGCAAGCTAGCGACAGTGACAGTGATTCACTGCATATAAATTCGACACTTCCGAGGAACTTGGTATGCGCAGATCATGCACGCGCTGGTTCTTCCCCTGCAAGTGATGTAATAACTGATCCATCCTCTCAGATTCAAGGTGATGGCCTTGGCACCTCACGGGCTGGAGCGTCAACATCCAACATTCATCCCACAGGTTCTCAGGTGGAGCTCCTGGCTACCCTAGATGCTTCGGGTCCTGAGTCCTCTGGACAAGCGGCAGACAGCGGTGATGCCGGCACCTCGTCATTACCGGCCGGCGATTTCGGAGGCGCGGTTGGTCGGCCGGCTCATCGCATTGGTGGGCGGAGCGGGGTGGATCCTGCGCCCTCCCTGTTGCCAGGAGCTGCTGCTGTGGGGCAGGGCTCGGCCCAGCCTGCTGCTGCTGCTTCTCCGGCTGCCGCGGTCGCTCAGCAGACTTCTACATCACAGGTCTCTCCTGCGGGTGCCAGAGTTAATACTATGAGCAGTGATGATTCCCTATCTTCGAACACCTCCCTCAACAACGACATATCCCGAGCGTATGAGAAGGTGGTGACCTGGCGGAGAAACTTATTCAACGTTCCATTGGGCTCGGCTGGTGGTGATTTTGTTGACGTGCTCACTGGGCTCATCAAGGGTTTCACCAATGGCTCCTCATTACGACCAGTTGCATGGAAGGCCGTCGGTGTTGCCTGCCACCTGCTTCTCCAGCGTCCGCATGATTCTAAGATGATGTCAAACTATAGCGACCATTTACGGCGTCGACTCACTCTATGGAAATCTGGCCGAATAGATGATCTGACTACTGAAGGAGAGTCCCTTCAGGATCGTCTCAAGCCCCGGTACTCTACCTCGTCTGGTGGAGGAGAGAAGAGTGATATCACATTCAGCAACCTGGTATTTTCGGGAAAAATTAAGTCTGCCATTCGCTACCTGTCCAGTGATTCTTCCAATGATGTGCTGGGTGTGACAGATGTAGTGGACGAAGAAACTGGAACTACCGTGAAGGAGGCACTGTTGCAAAAACATCCACCTGCTGCCGAGCCCCCGGTTTCGATACTTCTCGCCGGCGACCCGGAGCCAATCAACAGTATAGTGTTCCAGAAAATCACACCGGAGCTCATCCGACGTCTGGGCCGACAGATGAAGGGGTCCTCGGGCCCATCTGGTGTGGACTCTGACGCGTGGTGCCGGATGCTAACCTGTTATCGCAAATCGTCGGATGGTCTCTGTACTGCTCTTGCCAGCTTTGCCCAATGCCTGTGCTCGGAGGACTTGGATCCGGAACACCTATCCGCATTTACCGCCGCTAGACTTATTCCATTGGACAAACACCCAGGTGTGCGGCCGATTGCGGTGGGTGAAGTGTTCCGCCGGCTTGTGTGTCGTGCCGTTATGCGGGTGCTTGAGTCCGATGTACTGCGTGCTACTGCTCCCATGCAATTGTGCATTGGGGTGCCGTCTGCCTGTGAGGCAGGGGTTCATGCAATGCAGGAGTTGTTCGCACGAGAGGACACGGAAGGCATCTTGTTTGTAGATGCTACGAATGCGTTCAATTCATTGAATAGAAACGCGGCCCTCCATAACGTGCCCTATGTATGCCCCGCTATGGCAAAGGTGTTCCAGAACACGTACAGTTCTTCAATTCGTCTCTTCGTCTCCGGCGGCGGGGAGATTGAGTCACTGGAGGGTACTTGCCAGGGCGATCCGCTGGCCATGGCTCTGTATGGTATCGCTACAGTCCCGATGATTCGGCGCCTCCAGGAATCCAATCCATCTGTGGCTCAGGTTTGGTACGCGGACGACGATTCTGCAGGTGGCCGCGTTTCTTCATTGTCCACATACTGGGGAGACATAAGCCAACTGGGCCCTGACTATGGATACTTTCCAAACCCACAGAAATCAGTGTTGCTGGTCAAGCCGGAGCATGAGGAAGAGGCCCAGCGCCTCTTCTCCGCCACTGGAGTTACCATCAAGACCAGCGGCAACCGTCACCTCGGCGGAGCGATTGGCAGTGAGGAGTTCTGCTCTGCCTTCATGGCCAAGAAGGTGGATAAATGGAAGCAGGTTCTGGATTCCCTGACGGGGATGGCTGTCACTCAGCCTCAGGCCGCATACACCGTTTTTACGAAGGGTCTGTCATCCACATGGACATACCACTTGCGTTGCTCACCTTGTTCGGCTGAGATACTGGCCGAGCTTGATGAGAGGATCAATGATTGCCTGATACCTGCCCTTCTGGGGGATGGCGTTCGTCCTGGTAGCCCTGAGAGAGAGCTGATGTCATTTCCAGTGCGTCTTGGTGGTTTGGCCCTCCCTCTGTTGCAGGATAGTGCACCAGCAGAGCTCGCAGCATCCTTGAGCATCACAAAGCCTCTTGTTCAGCTACTGTTGACTGGCACATATGCGAACCCTCCAAGCGTGCCTGGTGATATGGCAAGGAGCGATTTGTCGGATACTGCCCAGTCAGAGGGCTCCGGTGATACAACCCAGGAGGTTGCCGACCGAGTGAGGCTCTCCAATCATGATCCCGTCCGCGATGCTGTTGGGGACACCCGCCAGCTGGCACGCTCGACTCGGACAAGCAAAATGCGGAGCCTATGCAGCCGGCAACAAGACATTAAGGCGGACTTGAGCTCGGAGCAACAATTTCTTGTTGAAATCGCGTCCGAAAAGGGAGTACCGTCATGGTTGACTGTTGCCCCGCGGTGGCAAGATGGAACCATCCTGAAGAAATCCGACTTCCGTGATGCCCTGTGCATCCGCTATGGGCGGAGGTTGAGTGGGCTACCCGATTCATGTGTTTGTGGTGTGCCTCTCAGCCCCGCTCATGCACTTACCTGTGCCACTGGCGGCTATACCATTGCCCGTCACAATGAGGTGCGGGACTTGGTTGCTGGACTACTGAGGGAGGCTGGAGTGGTGGACGTAGAGACGGAGCCCCGGCTATTGCCCTGCAGCAGTGAGCATTTGCCTGGTGGTCGTTCCCTCAACCGATGCGCAGAAGCTCGTCTGGATGTGCGGGCTCGCGGCTTTTGGTCGTGGCAACAGGACGCTTACTTTGATGTGCGGATCACTCATCCCGCAGCGTCTGTGTTGTCTCGATCACAAGCCCTGAGTCAGCTGAAGTCTCACGAGCGAAACAAGAAAAATCAATACGCCAGCCGTGTGGTTAACGTGGAGCGCGGCTCCTTCACGCCACTTGTGTTCTCGACGTACGGCTTTAGTGGCCCAGAAACTACTCAATTCCTGAAATCATTGGCCTCCCTGTTTGTTGAGCGCCATACTGAACTGAAG